AAGAAATAAAATAAAATGCAAGAAATAAAAAGAAAGGTAGTCAAAAAAGAGAGGTCGAATGAAAGAGATAATAGAAGAGTGAAAGAAAGTCGCGCTATACTCACTGGAAGTCGTGAGAGATGCCAATTTGCCTGCAGCTAATGTTGTCTGGGCCCTTTTTTTGCTTTGACCGGCAATCGCACAGCTACATCAGCAGAATTTGCAAAAGTTACATAGTGAAGCACAGTAAATTGAGAGCTACCAACAATCACAATATCGCAGTAAAAGTATATTGTAAAAGTTAACGCATTACAAGTCAGTTAAAGTTGAGCGACGAAACAATGCGGAGCTTGGTGCGCGCGGAGTCGTTCGAAAAGGTTAAATTAGAACAAACAAATAGCAAGCGTGTGCGATAAACGGTATTTCTGTGCTACAAGCAAAGAGAGCGGCCACATGAAAAATCAACAACAACATAGTACATATCAAAACGTTCAGCGCGTTCTGCGGCGGATCACGTGCCAATGACTGCCAATTGGACAGCAGCTAAAGCACGCAATAAACATTGTGAAGTCAATTAAACCATGAAAAGTTTAACGAAAAGCAATAGTAGCCAGGCTAGGTGAAGAGGTGAGATAATTGCAAGAACAACAAACGTTATGAGCTGCTGGCAAATACTACAGCCTTTATTGAGAGAGAAAAATTCGACAATCGCGTGTTGGATGATTTTTTATTTATTTTTTTTTATTTTTTTTTTGTAGAAAGGTGTAATACATTGCCAAGTGTGCAACAAAAACAACCATACCAGAGTAAATGACTACGTGAACCGACGGCTGACTCATTCGCACGTGTCATTTTTTCGGAATACTCTACCACGGCAGTGGCGCATGTATATGGACCGCGCAAAAAAAAGACGAAAATTTACGTCAGAAAGTTCACCTCTCGTTAAAAATATGGCCTACCTACAGGCGCATTAACCTTAAAATTTGCGTTGCGATGCATTGAAATAACTGTAGCTAGCCAGGAGGCCAAACAATTTTTTCGAGCGCTATTCGCCTTTCCTACCACCTCTCCTTCGCTCATACATATTTACAAATGTACCTTCTCAAGGCGCCTGGACGCTCTGACGTACAGCAGACAAAAACCTTTGTTGAGGTATCGTCAATACAAGCTGCCAGATACTGGAAATGTAGTGGAAGAAAATTAAGAGCGTTTGGGAATGAGAAGAGCGAAATAAATCAAGTGAGAGGAAACAGCAGCTGAGAATGGACCAAAAGGATAGTATAAATATACAAAAAAAAAACAAGAATAGAATAAGAAATAAGACATACAAAATTAAATTAAATTAAATTAAGTTAAATTAAACTAAATTAAATAAAATACAATAAAATAAAATAAAATAAAATAAAATAAGATAAAATAAGATAAAATAAAATAAAATAAAATAAAATAAAATAAAATAAAATAAAAT